TCCTGTTTATATCTAGGCTAGGAATTGTTTCATCTTGTGAATAAGAATGGACCTGAGCGGGGTTCAAACCTTGCTCTGCCTTGTACCAGGAAAAAAACAGAAACTTGTGTACAGAATGTGTAGAAAGGTAGAATTGCCTATTGTGAAATCTATTGTTGATTCGATCACTGTATCTCTGCTTCAAAGTAAAGCTATCAGAAGTTCCATCCACAGGTAACGGCTGTAGGATTTGGATTGCATTGTTGCATGGGGATCACTGGAGTTCAAGCAACACCTCACCCTCACAACTAAGGGTGTCATTGGCCCGAAAGCCACGGCGTGGATGGCCCAGTCTCATGCCCCGGGTGGGTTTGTGTGTATGCCTTGAATTAGGTTTGAGCTGGACCTAGGTGTTGAAGTCGCAGATATTCCTAATGTGGGGTTGGTGTAGCTTCAATAAGGTTTGAGTTGGATCCAGGTATTGAAGTTGCAGATATTCCTAATGTGGGGTTCGTGTTGCTTCAATAAGGTTTGAGTTGGATCTAGGTATTGAAGTTGCAGATGCTATTTTGGATGTTATGTGTACAACCAATAAGAAAAGAATAATATTATAACAATATACAAACCTCAAATTATTTTAAGGCCTTATTTGGCAATTTTTTGACTAAAATAGTCACAAAAAAAATAATTAAAAAGTTTCTAAAAATTTAAAGAAGTCATTAAAAATAAAATAAAAAATCCAAATGTCTCTGTAATGCAAAACTTTTGATACAATTAAAAATATCATTCTCATTTCTCAAAAAATAAATAAATATCATTCTCAAAAAAATTAATTTTTTTTCACCTCATAAAAAAGTTAAAAAATAAACAATTATTAAAAATGACAATTCCCAAACCAGGCCTATGTGGAGTATGCCATGTTATTTTAATGGGTCTTATTTTTTCAAATTTTGTTATTGGAAGCCATATTTGTGATTAAGGTTCTGTTTGTTTTGCCGTAAAATATTTTTGTCAAAAATATTTTAATCATTTTTGGTTGTTTGGTTAAATAAAAAGTAAGTAAAACATTTTTTAGGAAAATATTTTTGCATTTTTTTCTCAAAAATGACTTACTTTCCAAAATTCTGTAAGTTAATTTTTACAAAGTTGACTTTCACTCACTATCTTTTCAACACATTTACATTTTTAAATAATTATTTTAACTCACTACAAAATTATAAATAGCACTTTATTAAATTAAAATTTATTTTTTAAGAAATAAAATATTCTTATTTTAAGTATGAATCGAAAAATAAAAATAAATATATATATATATATATTTTGGTGTAAAAAAAATGAGCACAACATTCCAAACAATGGGGGTGTTTGGTAGAGCTTAAATTCAATGAATCGAAAAAAAAAATATATATATATATATATTTTGGTGTAAAAAAAATGAGCACAACATTCCAAACAATGGGGGTGTTTGGTAGAGCTTAAATCCAACTTATTTTAGTTTTTAGCTTAAATTAAGTGATTTTTGTGTGTTTGGTGTAGCTCGGGATCAACTTTTAGCTTAAAATAAGTCAAAATTCAACTTATTCTTTGAGTTGGGGAGGAAGTGCTTAAAAATTCAGCTTAAGCGCGCAGTTGGGGGTTTGAGGGGCAAAATGACTTAAATGCCCCTCACCATTTAAAGTAAGTAAAACATTTTTTAGGAAAATATTTTTGCATTTTTTTCTCAAAAATGACTTACTTTCCAAAATTCTGTAAGTTAATTTTTACAAAGTTGACTTTCACTCACTATCTTTTCAACACATTTACATTTTTAAATAATTATTTTAACTCACTACAAAATTATAAATAGCACTTTATTAAATTAAAATTTATTTTTTAAGAAATAAAATATTCTTATTTTAAGTATGAATCGAAAAATAAAAATAAATATATATATATATATATTTTGGTGTAAAAAAAATGAGCACAACATTCCAAACAATGGGGGTGTTTGGTAGAGCTTAAATTCAACTTATTTTAGTTTTTAGCTTAAATTAAGTGATTTTTGTGTGTTTGGTGTAGCTCGGGATCAACTTTTAGCTTAAAATAAGTCAAAATGCAGCTTATTCTTTGAGTTGGGGAGGAAGTGCTTAAAAATTCAGCTTAAGCGCGCAGTTGGGGGTTTGAGGGGCAAAATGACTTAAATGCCCCTCACCATTTCAATTTATTACCAGTGTGCCACGTATATAAGCCAAACTCACTCATTTCTCTCCCTCACTCGAACCAGAGAGGCGATTTTCGGCGAGGGAGGTGATTTCTGGCGAACCCTAGTTCTGTCTGTCTGTCTCTGTGTGTGTGTGTGTGTGTGTTTGGATTCAAATCTGAAGGAAGACAATCGATTGAGAGTGACGGCCTACTGAAGATCTAGCCTCCGTCGCGATCCGGCCTCCGGCAAGGTTTCTCTGTGTTTTTATCATCGCGATCTAAACCATCGTGACCATCTCTGAACCATCGCGATCTGAACCATCTCAATCGATCTGAACCATCGCGATCGACGCCGGCGTGACAACTCTTTCTCTGTGGATCAATCTGAAACCTTAGCTGCGCCAGAGCTAGGGTTTTCAGATTGGATTTTGTGTGTGTGTGTGTGTGTGTGTGTGTGGAGGTTCAGTGTTTTTTTAATTAAAAAAAATAATAATTAATGAATAAAAAATAATAATGCTAATTAATTTATAATGAAAAAATGAAAAAAAATTAATTAATGCTAATTAGGCCATTAATGAAAAATAATAATTTTACTATTAATTGATGCTAATTAGGCCATTAATTGACACTAATTAATTTATAATGAAAAAATGAAATATTTTTACTAAAAATGAAAAAATGAAATATCACTAAAAAAATGATATAAATTGAAAAAAATGAAAAATAATAAATGAAATAATAAAGAATAATAATAATATGAAAAATAATAATAAAGAATTACTAAAAATGAATTACTATAATAAATAATATTTGTCAAATGAATTACTAAAAATGAATTACTAATAAAGAATTACTATAATAAATAATAATAAAAAATTAATAAAAATAATAATAATAATAATTGATGGACAAATTGATACTAATTTTAATAATTGATGAACAAATTAATAATGATAATAATAATTAATAATTGATACTAATTTTAATAATTGATGAGAAAATTGAAATAATAATAATAATAATAATAATAATAATAATAAAGAAAATAAATACAGATATAAATAATTAAAATGAATATATAAAAAATAATATGTACTGAAATCACAACATTAATATAAATTAGAACATGAATATTAATTTTAATAGATTAGTAAATTAAACAAAATTAACAAAGAAAGAAGAGAAGAAAAAAAAATTAAAAAAAGAAAAGAAAATAAGGTGAAAAAGATGAGGAAAAAAAAATGTATTATAAATGAAATCATAAATTTTATATCTTATAAGGGTAAAAATGACAATTACACAATAAAAAATTATTTTATAGATTATTTATCAAATACTACTTTATTACTGAAATCCAAAATCTCACAATCGCACCAAACAAATTAACAATTTATCTTCACAATTATATATTATAACATGAGAATATAATTTATAATCACTTTCGCACAGATTTACCAAAAGGTAGCAATGGCAACGGGGCGGGGCGGGGCCGAGAATTACACTCCCCGTCCCCGATCTCCGATGGTCAAATTTCCCCCGGCCCCCGATCTGCGACGGGGAAGCCACCCCCGCCCCCTAACGGGGATCGGGTTTCCCCGACCCCGAACATTCCCCCGCCAAAAATAAAAAATAAAAAAAAACTTTCAGAAAATACATCAATATTATCATCATCTGAAACAAATGTAGTAAAATTAAGAAAATTTGTGTATAATTAACCAGTGCAAAAATTTGTGTAAATTAGTGCAAAAATTGTGTATAATGAGAAAAATGTAAATCATCTGAAATTTGTGTATAATGATTTAAAATTGTTGTGTAAATCATCTGAAACAAAAATTTGTGTATAATGAGACAGATCTGAGACAGATCTAAACCAGATCTGAAAAAAAAAAAAAATATGATGGGCGGTGCGAGATACGGTGGTGTTGAGAGAGGGAGTAGATGACGACAGATCTCAGATCTGGTTTGGTGACTGACGAACGACGAAGGAGATTGGTGACTGACGAACGCGAGAGTGAAGCAGCGGTACGAGCTATACGGCGACTCCGGCGTCTTCAACAGTGGCGGTGGCGCCGCTAAGGAGGAGGAGATGTGCGTCTTAGACAGTGACTGTGACTGAGTAAAAAGTGAGTGTGTGTGAGAGCAGAGCAACACAGGAAGTGATATAAATCTAATACATTGGTTTGGTATATTATAAATATAATATACGGACCGGTTTGGTTTATTATTATTATTATATATATAAATATATATAAAGGGTATAAAAGTAATTTCACTTCGAAAAAATTCGGGGATGAGGACGGGGATGGGCATCGGGTCGGGCCGGAGATTAAACACTGATCACCGTCCCCGACCCGTGACAGATTGGAGATTGATTTTCAAATACCGTCTTCTCGCCGTCGGGAGTATTTTTCAAAAAAAAAATCACTCAAATTAAGATCAGGATCAAGAATCCCCGTCGGGGCGGATTTCAAGTTGCCATCCCTGCCAAAAGGCCCAACGAGCCTCACAAATAAGGGCTGGACTTCTGAGTTAAAACCCACTCCACTGTCTCTCTCTGTCTCTCTAGGCTTGTTCATATTATTGCACAGCTTCACAAAAACTCAGATCGCCATTGAAGCACTGTCCCAACTTGATCTGAAGCTTCTTCGAAGCACGCATCCTAATCTTCACCGACATCATCATAATTCAAACGCACCATCTCGATCCGATTCGTTCTGATCTGATCATCGAAATCGATCTCAAAAAAAATAAACTAAACCATAGAGTACTGGCAATTCACCTAAATGCACAAGCTCTGTTTGATTTGCGTCGATTGAACAAGCGAGCTGAACAAATCATCAATGTCGTCTCTTCTCCATCAACGTCCACTTCACAACACTCTCACAAACCCTTCCTCCTTATCCCCTCGATCTCCCTCCGATTTCCCAAAACCCTCAACAATCTTCAACCGAACAAGCCTCTTACTGCTCTTATCACTCCTGGTAATTCTGGGAGTCTTCGTTCCATGGATTGGGTTGCCTCAAGGCCTGTTCACAAGTTCTCGAGTCTCAATCTCCAAATGGAAAGACTACACGTTGGCTGAGGCAGTGGCGAATGTGGCGAAGAATGGGACAGTTGTGGTGTGTGCGGTGAGTCAGCCTTACTTGCCGTTTCTGAACAATTGGTTGATTAGTATTGCGAGGCAAAAGCACCATGAGAAGGTGCTTGTGATTGCTGAGGACTATGCGACTCTTTTTAAGGTCAATGAGAAGTGGCCTGGCCATGCCGTGCTCGTGCCGCCCGCACCGGATGCTCAGACTGCCCATAAATTTGGGTCTCAGGTGCTTTTTTGGGTTTTCTTTGTTATTCATGGATGAATCAATTCTTGTTACTTATCAATTTCTATTTTTGGTGACTCAAGATGTGTATTAACTGGATCAAATTCATGATTTTTCAGTGATATTATACACCTTCTAATAGTGGGATACGTATTTGCATTTGTAATCAATTGTGTATTTTGAGGTTGATTCTAACAAAGAATTGGAGAATTATAGGTTGCGCTTGGTAGAGTTTTTTAAATATAATTTGAGAATAGAGTTGTATTTTGAGTTTTTGAGTTTTGGAATTATGATTTGAGTGGGTAAAATTTGTTTAGTGAATGAGTTTTGAAAAGAATTTTTTGAATTGAGTGGGGAATTTTTGATGTGATATATGATATTTGATATAAAAACTTACAACTCATAATCAAATACACAACTCAAAATTCTATTAAAGCTAAAAAAAAAATTAAAAAAATTTAAAAAATATTTTTTGTTGAATATATAAAAATTAACATGTGTCAATTGTCCAAAAAATAATAATAATAAATAAATAAAGAGCTGTTTCGGTCAACCGGCCAATCAATCCGATGGGCCGACTGGTTAGCCTAAATTTTCCTGCCTTCAACCGAATTTTCAAAAGTGTGTGTTGAATTAATTTTTGAAAGCTACAACCAAACACCATATGCAAACTAAGAGCTGGAATCACAATTCCAAAGTTCTTCCAAACAGAGTCGGTTTTTTTTTTTTTTGCCCTAATGCATTGTTCCCCTTTTAATTTCTGTAGTTGAGTACTTTCCATCCATGTATTATCCAAGAAAAATGTGCCCCAGAAAAGGCATTGGATAGTTTGACTAAAATGTAAATTGGATAGTTTTAAAATAAGCTGATTTGCAAATTAGGTATTAAGTGCTATGAAGCATGGATACAAATATAAATACAAATACGGGATATGGATACAATAGAATATCAATATGGCAATACGACAAAATCTAAAATATGGATTACGAATATGACTATGATACGTTTGTAAAAATATATATTTTTTTATAATTTTTAGTATTGTATTATACATTTAAGAGCTAGTAGCTGCTAGCTAGCTTACTTTATAATTTTTAGCAGTCTTATAAAAATTTCATTTTAATATCAAGTCTATACTGTTTATATTGTCACTTTGCTTTTCTATTTCACACTGTTGTATGCAAGTTTATTTGCTTGTTTAATTGTTGAAATCTAATTTTAGTATTTTTATATTTTCTTGTTTATCCTTGCTTTCTATAAAGTATGAATACAGATATGTAACGCATAAAACACGCTAACAATTTGTTAGTTTGACAAATTCAAAAAAGTAAGGTACTACTAAATCTCACTATTTTTTATTCTCTAAGAAGTTAGTAAAATATTGAAAAACTATTATTGTATTTATCCTGACAATTATACCTTAATGCTATACAAGAATTATTACATCTCAATTTTATAATGGTTTGAATTGTGACCTAGAGTAACCGAAATTTAAGCAATACTTCTCGAAATTAAAGAAAAATTATGAATACATTTAGAAAGTATCGGATACGTATCTAAGGATTATTGGTATTTGATATGGATGTGACTCTCTTTTAAAAATATCCATGCTTCATAGGTTAAGTGTGTATGGCTAAAAAACTAAAAACCTCAAAAAAAATACAAATCTACTTGCTTTGTGTTATTTAATTTGTTTGTCTAAATTTTACTTGTAAAGAATTGTTTATACAAAATTGTTTATTTCTTTTAAATCACAGAACTGTGTTACCTAGAACTTGAGAGATTCAAAAGTTCAACACCACATGGATATCAAATGGGCTCATGTATAAATCTACATATTTTGATTTAGTTAATCCAAAATGAAATGATTAAATTTCCAGAGTCAGATAGGCCCTTTATGAAAGTCTGCACTCTTTCAAGACGAATTCTATTTTGGGGGATGTCACTTTCAAATTAGGCTGTGGGTGCTAGCCTTTATTAAATGAAATTGCATTTCTTTCATTCTATGCTTTATTGATTCTACTTCAGATATGTAGCCTCATCCTAGGGCATAGATTCATCTCTTGTTCTCATATAGTTTTCTACCAAAATGAAGAGGCTAAAGGTTTTCTGATGGAACAGAATATTGCACTGGTTCTTTATTTTACCACATTTTATTAACTCTTAATTTACTTACCTAACCACCTTTATAGGCTTCTCATAATAATGACCTTGGGTAGCTTCATTTTATAGGGATTCTTCAATTTTACCTCCCGAAGGCCTCGCCACCTACTGCAAATATTGGAGCTTGGATATAATGTTATGTACAATGATGTTGATATGGTCTGGTTAGCGGATCCATTTCCTTATCTGCAAGGGAAGCATGATGTATACTTCACAGATGACATGGCTGCAGTACGTATGCTTACTTTGCTTCTGGCTTCCAGTATTTTTAAACTATTAATGCATCCTATTTACATAGAACGGACTATGCTGTACCGCTATCAAAAACCATAGATTCCACATGAAGTCCACAAACTATGCTAAAGGAATGCTGCTCCTTTAATTTCCTTGCCAAACCTGCCCTTTGCTGCATATTATAACTTCAATTTGAATACTGGTTTTTAATGGAGTGTGAGTTCAATTTTGAAATCAGAAACATATGTATATGAAGGATTCTCCATATGTTGGGTTTACTTGACATTAACATAAAATTGTTTTGGACCCAGTGTTCCATTCATCTTTTAGCATTGCAGCATAAACCCTGACCAAGTATCGCAGACTTACAATCATTAAATTAAGTTTTTGTGGATACACCAGTTAGTCCCGCTCCTTTCACCTGTGCGCTATGGTCTGCAATCTCTTTTATAATTCTTTTTGCAAATATGCATGCTTGACTGATATTGATGAATCACTTCTCCTTTGGAACCACCAGGTGAAACCTTTGAACCATTCTCATGCTTTGCCACCTCCAGGGAAAAAGGGGCGGACTTACATATGCAGTTGCATGATTTTTTTGCGCCCAACTAGCGGAGCAAAACTGGTTATGAAGAAGTGGATTGAAGAACTTCAAGCTCAGCCATGGTCTAAAGCAAAAAAAGCAAATGACCAGCCTGCTTTTAACTGGGCATTAAACAAAACTGCAGGACAGGTGTGTTTCTATGTTCTTGAAACCAGCTAAAAATCTTATCTATAGAGTTTAGTTACCTTGGACAATATTGTTAAAGGCAACAACTTAGAATGTTTCTGAGAATAACACTTTTTACTTCCACCATCCATGAAAACAAGATTCTGGATCAGTACATGAAAGCTCAATGCTGAGGTTCATCTATGCTATATATATAACGCATAGCCTTGTGGGACTGTCACAACTTTTACTATATCTAAAATACCCATTTCAGATCTAAGTACTTCAATTCAAACTTAGTAATGCTTCACACACACACACAGTGTGTGCCCACATCTATAGTTTATCAAAAAGTGGGTCATATTGTATGCAGCATTGCATGAGACATACCTGATTGATTCTATAAGCAATACTAGGTGGTGACCACTACAGAAGTTGAAGGTGATGTAAAGTATTGGCTATTTGCTTGTATAGAAAGATGAGTTTTCCACCGTGTAATGGGTGGAATCCTGTTGTTTCATGGCAATCAAGTAATAGTAAAATTTGTTTGCCATATTCCGATATTTAAAACTGGTTGAGAAGGTTGAGGCTTCTCTGTATTTTGTATTGAATGGTTGAGCTACTATGCTTATACATATTAATATACTATCAATAAAATTATATCCTTTTTTGTTGCACATTGCTGTGGGTAATTGCACATATGTCTTCATTGTTGCAGGTGGATCTATATCTGCTCCCACAGGCAGCATTTCCTACGGGAGGGTTATACTTCAAGAATCGGACATGGGTTCAGGAAACTAAGGGAATGCATGTTATCATTCATAACAACTATATAACAGGTTTTGATAAGAAAATAAAGCGCTTCCATGATTTTGGCCTCTGGTTGGTGGATGATCATGCACATGAGTCCCCCCTTGGCCGATTATAGCAAGCCGGACTACCACTTTTCAATGGATAAGTTGGTGAAGCTCTAGCAGCCTTCCTCGAGTTACATTGCCATTCCAATTGCTGTTGAGCTCATTTTTTGCCCATTGGCTCCGGATACGTGTTGAAATTACCATTCAGCGAACAGCGAAAGGAACTCTTCATTTGGTCATTTCCATTCTTCGAAGCACGTTGGATCATCATTCCCTAACCTCTCTGCAATTTTTCTCCTTTGATATTTTTTCCTTAATTATGTATGAGTTTTTTTGTTTCTTTTTGAATTTTCAGAACTGCTTTAATATCTAATTCATTCAGCCAATTCTACCTTGGTGTTATCTTTAGAAATTCTTCAGTTTTTGTGAATGTCCCATATGCTTTTTACACAACACTTTCTGTGGTGAACCTGCTAAACATTGTTCACCCAAAAAAGAACCTGCTAAACACTACAGTAGCTAGGGCTGCAAATGAACAGAGCCGTTCATGAACAGGCTCAAGCTTGGCTCGATAAGAGCTCGTTCGAACTCGGTTCGTTAAATTTTTTCTGCGTTCGAGCTCGAGCTTGTTAAATTTTTAATAAACAAGCCCAAACATTTTAAAGCTCGGCTCGTTAGTTAACTCGTTTAATATTTATTATTTATATATTAAATAATATAAAAATATGTATAAAAAATAAGAGAAATATGCTATTTATATATTTAAAAAATATAAATGTAAATAATGGTTAACTATAGATAGTACATTTACACAATAGTGATAGTAGATATTATTATTTTAGTAAAATATGGACTTTTTTTTTAGTATGTTTATATATATTGTATATATAATTGTATAATCAAAGTTTTAATTGTAACTTTAGTTTTACATGTAGGTATGAATTTATAATTTTTTTGGTTCGTTAAGGCTCGTGAACAGGCTCGAGCTTGAGTTGAGCCTAAGTCAACTCGGCTCGAGTTCGGTTCGTTAATTTTTTATTCAGTTCGAGTTCGAGCTCGAGCTCGTTAAAATTTTAATAAACAAGTCTAAACATATTAAAGCTCGGTTTAGTCTCACATGAAAGTATGAATTTATAAATTTTTTGGCTCGTTAAGGTTCGTGAACAGGCTCGAGCTCGAGTCGAGCCTAAGCCAACTCGGCTCCAGCTCGGTTCGTTAAATTTTTATTCAGCTCAAGCTCGTTAAAATCTTAATAAACAAGCCCAAACACACCAAAGCTCGGCTCGGCTCGGCTCGTTTGCACGGCTCGACTCGGCTCGTTTGCAGCCCTAACAGTAGCTGTATTAAGAAGAGGGAATGATATATTTACCCAAAAAAAACAAAAAAACAAGAGGGAATGATTTGTCCATTTTGATCTTCAAATAAGCAGCCATGGGATTTTGAAGTGGATATATGTATTGCTATTCTAGTTAGAACGTATTATTAGAATCTTTCTAAGTCCATATAGCTCATAACAGAGCAGCTGATTCTACTTGATTAGAATGGAAGAGAGATGAATGGGGTATTTGGTATTATTTTAAGTTTATTTATTTATTTTTTTAGATAGGGAGATTATTTTACATTAAAAGTTGATAGTCTCTATAAATTAAAAACATCCTTCACTTAACTTTTGAAAAATTAGAGCTGTGTGAGGAGAATTTCTCTAAACACATTTCTATCCATGGATTTCAGTGTAGTATTTGTTTTGAGTTTTCGAATTATAATTCTATAATCACTTTTGAAAACTCCTTTCTAGGCGGGAAAATTTGGCTAATCCGGATGCCCGGTTGGTTAACGAGAACAATATTCGGTTTTTTATTTTTATTTTTTGGCACTTGTTATTTTTATATTTTAAATAAAAAATATTTTCAGAATTTTTTTTAAAATTTTTTATGAGCTTTGAATAGGATTTTAGATTATGTGTTTGGTTATGAGTTGTAATTTTTTGAACTAAATATCATGTCTGTGTGAGTGAATTTCCGATCACACTGCCAACTCAGTATTCAGTTGGAGAGCACTGGCAGAATAGATGGCAACTGTCTGACCTGCAACAGAAAGAGAAGATTCCGGCGGTGGTTCGTCCACCCGGGAGCACTCCGACGATCAAGTCAGTATATCTCTTAAAGATAATCAATAGTGCTAAACTCATTGTTCAGAATATAAATTGTGTACCTTAAACCCATCGAGGGTGCCTCTCTTTTATAGTTAATTCAATCTTAGTCTCCATAGAAGCCTAGCTTCAATGGACTTCTGCTTAGTGCTTATCCTGGACTCTCTAAGAGATAAAGACAAACTCCCTAAGAGTGTTATCCTTATCCATGCTAAAGTCCTTCCTCATTCTAGGACTCTTGTGCCTTATCCGCTTTATCTCGGATTCCGATATCTTTGGAGATAACCTCGGCCTAACAAAGATCACCTCAGCGTCATAACCTGGACACGTGGCACCTCGGCTGACACGTCGGTGTCATCTTGGCCACGTGTTGGGACTCAGAAAATATATCCCCACAATTGCCCTCTAGGTTCTATTATCTCAGCATTTTGAGGTGATGGAACCTATACCAGAACTTCTTGCCAATACATCGGTTTAAAGTCTCTTAGCAGAGATCATCATATAGGCCGACATGTCTCTTTAAGGTTTAAAGATTCCAAGATCTCCTTCACGCACATGAGCTGTCATGCAAAATAACTCAACCGTTTTAGCCACGCGTCTTCCTTTTACTGGATCATACTACGTACGTGCTTGTAAGTCGTCTCGCGCCTGCATGCGCCGTCTGACAAATCCGTTTTTCTAGGCTCATCAATTCTTTTTTGCCGCCTTTTCACGTTTTTTGGACAAAACCAATATCCCTTCTCTTTGTCTCTTCACTTTACATCATTTTTGAAGCTCTCTCTCTCTCTAGCTTTCCCACATCCTCCATTGTTTCAAGCTTTCAAGCTCTGCTATCACCACTGTTTATCTTCCACTGGCGAGGCTCTTGCTAATCTTTCTTCTCTGCTGTCGTTCGTCTGACTTCGGCGAACTCAACACCAGCTTCTTTCCTTTGGTGAGTTACTGTTTTCTTCCCGATTTTAGTTCTAGTCGATTTTCAAGAAGTTTTGCTTCATTATTTGCCATTGCCATCTTACTTAAGTATTTGATTTATGAATCACGCATCTGAATGTGTTTATTTCATGATTTTGCTCTTGCCCATGTCTTGAATACACGTACTGCTCAAAACTTTTCTGCACTTTTGCCACTGTTCTTGACCTTATACCCTTTGTACTTACAATGTTCTTGATAGTCCATCTTTGTTCTTGATTCTGAAGCGCATTCTTGCTTTTCTATTTTCCAGATTCGTGCCTTCAATCTTCGTTTCCATAGATCTAGATTTGGGATTTGTTTGTAGAACTCACAAATTCTTAGGAAAAAACGAAAACGATCCGCACGATTTCTTACCCCACAAATTTTTAGGTTTTTGCAGAGGTCCCAATAACCCTTTTAAAACACCTTCATTCTGAAATCCAGTTCCTCCTAGTTAGGCCGATATCATGGGTATGTGGAAACATAGGGTAGACACCCCAACCAAGTTAGATCATTTTAGGTATGAGTTTGACACCCTATCGACGTCCATCTGAGGTTGGCTGGGGAGGATGACTCTATCATGCCCACGGCCGATTCCATGCCCCTCCCTGTTGTGGCTTTCATCGAGTGCAGACTTCGGCTCCCACTTAATATCTTTTTTCGTGAGATCATTCACTATTATAAGTTGAACCCAATACAGCTTGCCATCAACTCCTACCGAGTCATCAATGGCATAATAGCCTTAGCCAAACAAGAAAATACTAGGATTACCTTAGCTGATATCCAATATTGCTACACCATGTGTGGCCTTAAAAAAGATACCGGCTATGTTTATTACCTTAAGCCAAGGTCCACGGAGTACAAAATTGTTGCCGACCTCCCTGACTCCAACAAGGGAGCTGGGGATGACTATTTCATTACCTCGGGGAACTGGGAGTTCGCTCCAGACGAGGACCTTCATCTCTACCCTCTTCCTCGATCAGTTTTTGTAGAGGGCAATGGTAAAAGCCCTGTGTTCATACTAACTTGTTTTTAAAGTCTTCAATACTTTATTTGTTTCTAATGTCTGCTTTTCTTGCAGCTCTTCCTCAGCCACCAAAGGGCTTCCGCCAGTCTTTCTTTCCCAGTAAAGACTTGAAGAAGTTACTAGATCTCCCAGTTCACAAACGGAAGACCCCTCTTCTACTCAATTTCATTCCTACCTATAAGTCAGCTCTTCCCGACGTCCTCAAGAAGAAGAAGAGTCTATCTCTGCCTTCTGCCACAACTCCTCAAGCTGCCTCCTCATCTCGGCCAGATCAAGGGTCGACCTCTGATCCAGCTGAGCAGCCGTCTACCTCGGCTCCATATCTGATCCCGATATCCCAACGCCGTTGACGACACCGAACAGTTTTTGCTGCTGAAATGTGCCGCCAAAAAGCAGTTGCTAAGGATCTTTTGGTCAATATTCCTAATTCAGTTGATGCCCAATCAGCGCCAACCCAGCCAAAGCCGAAGACAAAAAAGATCAAGAAGGCTCAGCCAAAGGCAAAAGTGACTCAAATTGACACTGAAGATACTTTGCCAATCTCGAAATTAGCTTCGAGCTAGAGAACTACATCTGCTGCTGAGAAGAGGCCAGCCGAGGCCCAACCATCTGAATCCCCAAAATCAAAGAAGCCGAGGTCATCCGCTACAACCACATCGGGGTCTCGAAAGCAGGATTCCCCCTAGGCCTCCCATATCACACTGGAGGATAAGCCAGTTAGGGCTAGCGACAGCGCTGATGACATTAATGTCAGCGTTGCCCTTAGTACTGCTCTGCTTCTTCCCAACGATCTCGACCGAAACGTCGAGTTGAGTGAATATGAAAATTATGCTCTGATGCTCCAGCGCTCTGTCCAAGTGAGTGTCTTTATTCGGTCATTTTTCTTTCTTTCTTTCTTGTACTTAGAAAATTTTCTAATAACTTTTGTCTTGTTCACTTTCAACCCATCCAGCATGCTTATTCCTTCTCAATACAATCCTTTGAGAACCGGAAAGAACTGGTTGATAAGAAGAGAGAAGTTGCCAGTCTGCAAAAGGCCAACAAAAGCTTACAATAAAAAATGAAGAAGTTGGAAGACCAGGCCGAGGCTGCCATCAAAGCTAAGGATGATGCTGATGAAAAAACACATGTTGCTGAGGCCATTAACAAGGTTCTTGAGGCCCAGAGGAAAGAGTCTGAGGAAAAGATGGCCCAAGCCCAAAAAGAACTTCAAGATGCCTTGGTCACCAAAGACGCTGAGTTGAAGGAGGCCGACCAAAAGGGGTACAACGAGGGGGTGGC